ACAGTTTAAGCTTATAATCTTGCAGTTGAGTGATTGGTTCTAGGAAAATGCTGTGGTAGAATGGCAATAAACCTATTTGTGTGGGGTTTTTGGTTTGCTATTTTTGTTGCCAACTTTTTCTTCCTGTTCCTACTAGGAAGAGAGTTTGACAACTGAGGAAACAGTGGCAGAGTCTGAAGAAAGCCTAGAAGAACTCATGGCCAAAATGAGAAACATGTAGCAAACCAACTATTAAGTAAAACTTTTGTTTTGATTGACAATGGATTTTGAGAAGACCAGACTTTCCCTGCCCCCCTCCACTGAAGCTTATCTTTCCATTTCTGCTGAACTGGAGCTGTTACAGGCACAGGAAGGAAACACTGACTTTGTTTACATTCTCTTGTCTTTTCACATCTTTAAGACAGTTATGCTGCTGAAAATTTTAATTTTCAAAAATTGCTAGAATGCAGACATTTGGTAGAAAATGGAAGGAGATGGATTAAACTTAGCCCATTACATGCTGTATCCTGTGATAAGAACAGCATATGGGGTAGGACGAGTGGGAGATGAAGCTGCTGGAGTGGACCCAGTCGGTCAGGGCAGATGATGGTGCCTCACCCCCAGTGCTGCTCTCAGTCTTCCAGGCACTCGTACGTGTCCATGGTCACTGGTCTCTGCAAGTTCTTGGCACAGATTGCGCTGTGACTACTCTTTCTGAGTAAACAGAACCTTTCAGCCTTTCCATCTGCCTCAAATATCTCCAGGAGGGAATTTTTTTTTTAAACTTCACTGGTTTGAATACTGTTTGTTCTTAAACACCTGCCTCTATGTTTGTATGTGATCATGCTTTTGACTGTGCTGTAGCAAGGCAAAGAGTCTTTTGTTAGCACATAATTATACTAGCAGACTAATTGTACTAGCATAGCACTAGTTCAGCTGCAGGTGATTTTCAAGACAGTATCTGTAAGAATTACCAGCAACAAGAGATTTTTGTTATCTCTTTGAAAGATCTAAATGTTTCATTCTGGTTACACTCACCTGTAAACATACACGTCCTGCAGAGCCAGTACCCTGAAGAACTGAAAGTGTCCACTTCAAATATTTCAACTACTGTGTCTGATTCAGAGCTTGATCGTTAGATTTGTCTTACAAGAACATAAATCTCAATGAGCTATGCAAAACATTCCTGGAAGAAACCAGCTCCTTAAAGATTACAAGTTTGAAAACATAATGGTTTTATTCCGAGTAAAATACAACACACATACAAACAGGGACAAACAAACAAGCAGAACACACTTAATAGGCTGCCAGATAAATGCAAGGTGGAAGATTACAGGTGACAGGCTTGAGAGAAGTAATGTCACCTCACCAGAAAACAGATTAAGAAAGAAATTAAAACATCTAATAAAATTATTTCCCAAGAAAGTTGCTCTGTTATCAACTTCCGTGTGCATTTTCAGAGTGTCAGCTTAATGTTAAGAATACTGGCAAAACCCACATCTGTCTTCTGACATTCAAATTTGTTTCAAATAAATTCATGTGAAAAGGCCTTGCTGCAGTGAGTGACTTTATCAGGAAGGGTCCAGCGCTTCTGCTTTAACACCCATCAACCTCACTGTCTAACGACCACCCTCCTGCAAAACATCACTGACTGCACATTGTGCTGAGGTGTGAAAAAACATCACAGAGAGAGCACGTTTCATTTTTCTCTTCCTCCCTTTTTACTTCCACTGGTGGAGTTTTCCACATAAATGCCACTTCACAGCTACATTAACTACACAACAACTGGAGTTTCCACCTCAGAGACATCAAAAATACCCTAATGCTTTTTTTCTTTTTTTTGTTTTTTCATAGCAAAAATAAACTATTTTGTAGAGAATAATCTCAGTTCTTCAATTAGCTCCTCTTTGCTAGTTCTCAAGGAATGACTTAGTTAACAATTAAAAACATGACTACAGAAACTAATAATACCTATAAATTGTAGGTTTACAAGGAAGTAAGGTAGGGGTTTCAGTATTATTAGTGTTAATAAAAAGTCATTTTAAGCACTAGAAGCAAAAAATAAACCATTCAGAACAAAAATTACTGAAAAATAATACCAGTCTACATTTTCTTTCTATGGCAGCTTCTGACAGATGAGATGTGTTTGGTATTCTAGTCCTCTGGCTCATATCTGAGGATTTAAAAATAAATAATAATAAAAAAGTAATAATCATTAAAGCAGAGTAGAAAATAACCCAAGGGACATTTGGCCTCTAAAGAAAATCTGAAACCCAAGTATTTGATTACTCCCACTAGTGTTGCATCCCTGTCAAGGTTCACTGCACGACTTGGGACACAAACATCTATATTTTTTAGACTATTTTCTCCTTTTAATATCATCCAATTTACCCAATAGCTGAATGAGGGAATGACCAGGAACCCACCCACAAATTCCAAAATCCAGGCAGAAACTTAAACAGAAGTTTTCAGTTCCGCCTCTGCGCTTCTACAGTGCGGCCCTAAGGCACCCAGGTTGCCAAAGCTTGCCCGATGTTTGCAGAGCGAGTCCATTAGAAGAACTGGATTGTCAAAAATGAGGGAGCAGCCTGCTGGAAATTCTTCTTAAGAGAAAAATCTAGAGCCTGTTTTACAGATGGCTTCACATTTATCAAAACAGACCAGGAGCAAAACACAGATTCAGAACAAGGATCAGAGAGAACTGCACCACTTACTTGGAAAGCTTTTTACGTAGGTCCTTTATCTGTTCATTCTTCTTAGTGAGAATCTCTTTCATGTTTCGGTAGGCAGCTGTTTGCTGAAATTTCTTCTCCAATTCCTACATAATAACAACATCAACATATTATTTACATATAACAAAGAGCAGACTAACATGCTGCTTAAGAAAACGACCACTTGCTTTTCCTCCTCAAGTTGCAGAACAGTCGTTTCTCTTTCAAATTTAAATGAGATTACTGGGAGAGACAGAGATACCCTGACTTTATTTTCTAACGAAATCAGGCTGAAAGTCTTCTGGCATTAGGAAGACACTTTTCATTCAAAAAATTCTATGCAGAAAAATGGGCAATTTTTAAGTACTCCTCTAGTTACAAACACAGCTAGCTATGGTTTTGCCATTTTACGTGTAACGTGTTTTTCCACTGAAGCAACAAAAATTCACAGGCACGAGCGTGACCCAGTGAACTCCGCATCCTGTAGTGTACACTTGCTAAATTGCTCATCAGTTAAAATGGGAGTAGGGAACTCATCTTTACAGTAGAATATAATGCTAACCTTTTGAGCTGTGGAGAGCTGGTCCTGGACCTTAAGCAAGTCATGTTTTGTTGTCACCAGGTTCTCTTCCAAGAATTCTTGGTTTGCAGTAGCATCATTCAAAGTCTTCTCAAAATGGCATTTCAAAGCTGCCACTTTATTCTCGAGTTCAGTGATATCCTGGTTCGTGTTAGTCTTCAATAGAAGAAATATTTAAAATATGTCAAATGCAAGAGAAGAAATATTTAAGATGTCAAATGCAAAATTCCACATAAAGTGGGCACATCCTAATTGTTAATAATTATGCTCATGTTATTCCTGTAAAGCCTAAATTAGAAGTGCTTTAACTGGGGAAAAAAAAAAATCATGAAAGCACTGATTTATAACTTCAAAATCCATCTAATGTCCAACTTTTCAAGGTGGCTGGAATGTCTTCTCTGCCAAGTCAAAGTTTCAAGTCCCGGTACTTCACTTTTTTAAGAATTAGGTGAAGCCACAGGATGAAACTTATCACAAGAAGTGTTTTTCCACTGAAGCAACAAAAATACAGAGGCATGAGCGTGACCTAGTAAACTCTGCACCCTGTAGTGCACACTTGGTAGATTAGTAATCAGTGAAAACATGAGTGTAGATCTCATCTTTATATTACAATAAAATGCTAAGTTTTTGAGCATAGAGAAACAGCAAATTACAGTTTAAGATCTGAATGCCTGTGGTATAATGTATTTTTAAAGCAGCTAAATACCCCAGGCATTTCAAAAGCCGTCAGTGTAATACAGGTAAGAAAGGACAAAAGCGTTAGAGCTCGTGTTATGAACCAGGTATCAGCACTGCACTGTTCTCGGATGCATTACAAAAAGAATTTCCACAGTTGGTTTTGAAGCAACTTTCCTGTTTCCTTGTGAGGAAAAACAACCTAAACTCTTCCAGCCATCAGTTCTGGGTCACAAAACATTAAATTAATGTAACTGTTCTATGGATTTTCACTTAAAAAACCCCCACCTCTTAGGTTTAAAAGCTCAACTTCCAACTCACAAAAGCATAATGATTCAGGATGAGGCTGAAAAAAGCAGCACCTTAAAAGTGACAAAAATCTAAACCGGAGGAAGCTCTGCTCTTTTTTTTCCTATGTGGAAGGTAAGACTTGAGCACAGGAAACCACTTGACAGCAGTACCTGTACAGAAGAAAAGCTTATTTTGGATTTTGAGACCTAGTCCAAGGGTGAAAAACAAACAAACAAACAAAAGCGCCACATCGCATGATGCTTCAGATCAGAACAGATGGTGATCACTTCTCTAAACAGTGACCTAAGTCAACCACATAAAAACTCTAAATATCCAAGTTAAACTGATCCAGCAGAGCCAAACTATGGTTCACACTTGGTGTGTGGAACCATATCAACCATGTTTAAACCAAAAAAAAAAAACCAAAAAAAACCCAGTCCTTAAGCACCACATCTTTTTTGGCAAGTGCTTGTTTGTCCAAAGAATTTGAAAACCACGGCTCTAAGGAGCAACTGGGATCCTATGATTTTATTGACACCCATCCTTTGAAAATATGGAGTGAAACCAGATAAAATTCAGCATTTTCTCCAAACAACTAATAGTTTTATTGCTTCAAGCAGTGCGATTCAGCTCTGTATCTACTAGCTAGTTTCAACAAGTATATATGTGTAAACAGAAAATGTAAAAGCTGGAGAGGAAAGCAACCAGTTGCAGCGAGCAAATTATGATGTGAAAGCTGCAGATACTCAGCAGCCCCGACACAGAGGCCAATTCAAGTTTAGCCAGAAAAACAGAATGAGATTTGGTTCCAATCTTTTACAACTACAAATGCTATTATTCAGGATTTAATAAACCCTTAAACCTTTAATAATTCAAGGCTTATCAAAACAGGTAAAGAAAGTATTTGCTGTGACCAATAAATAAAACTCTTTACTAATTAAATAATATTATTGAATACAGAAAGTTACCCGATAAAATTATAGCATATTAAGAAAGCCAAGTACATACCATAAACCATTTAGAAAGCAAAATAAAAAGAAATCAGAATTACAGTATGAAAATAAAAGTGGAAAAGTTTTATGATATTGAGCTTCACTTCCAAATCTGTAAATACTTCAAGACTTTTAAAAAGTCAGTTCCTCCACATCATGAGACGAAAGTGCTCTAATACTATTAAAAGTTTGAACCTAAATGTTTTAAATTTAATAAATAATCATGAACAATCTTCAGAAAATCCTAATTCTCGACAAAGTAAAGTACAAGCTTAAAAAAACCGACTAAGGTGACCTGAACAGATTTCGTATGTGCCAACCTGCCTGCACGACTTCTGCCCTCTTGTGGTGTTTCTCCATGGCAGCAACTCACCATGTTTCAACCCTCGTTTAGCAAAAAGATTAAAAACCTCGAGTAGTGAAAAATAAACGGTGAACCGCTACGGATAGTACACTGCTACGGGCAGAACTACATTAAATCAAACATTTGCCACCTGATCTATCATCACTGACATCTGTAGCAAAACTTCAATTTATGTTTAAGAATATACCACACCAGACATTTACCTGTAAGCAATAAGGTTTTTAAAATCTGAAGTGAGAAGCAGCAAGTCTGGCTTGTCCATGTCAATACCGAGTGTGACAAACACTTGAAATAATTAGTGGCTTACTGTCGCTATAAAAACCAGGTCAGAATAGGAACTGTGGAATACGACTTCCTGATCGCACCTGGAATAACACTTTCTAATAATAATTTATCACGGTCTATGTGACACAAAAGACATGGCATAATGTCAGCTAACGTTCTGGATTATCTGCTGACTGACGGAAACTATGTCAGCAGGAGCGTGATGATACTAACTTGAACTTCTGTGTTTGCCAAAAAAGAAATGCACTGCAAGGACCAACTTTTCAGATATAAAGGCCACAGTTACGTGAAACATGGGTGGTGGAAATCTTAATTATATTTACCTTCTGGTCTCCTTGGATCACTTGTAAATCCTTCAGTGACTTTTGTAGCTTGGACTTCTCATCTAGTGCAGCTGTAGCCTGTGATACATTGAAAAAGTAAAACCACAAAAATGTATTTTAATGGAAAACAGTAGAATAATAACCATGGAATTCTTATTTAGATATTTAATAATAAATACACAATTCTTATTTAGATATTTTTTAGTATGTAAGCAGCATTAAGTATCTAAGCTTACACAGAATTTACCTGTGTTTCTATGGTCTTGAGTCTGGTCTTCAGTTTTTCATTTTCTTCTTGGAGACGAGCAACTGTCTTCAGGTTAATGAACAAGAGAAAGTTTTAGTGCATACGTGTTCTGTGTCAGAAAATAACTGTGTTTTATCAGTCAGAGTAAATTCACCATATAAACTGAATTATTTTTAAGGAAAAAAAAAGACATCAGATTCACAAAACTTGCTGTGAAACAGATTTTGATTTTTTTTAAGAGAACTACATTAAACATAAGAATAAATAATTACAAAGTCCAAATAGTCTTTGCAAAAGGGAAGGTCAATATTGCAGTATGTGTTAAGAGACCATAACTGTACAAGAAATTTAAGATGCTTTACAACAGTTATTAATTCATTAGCATTGTACTTGACATTCTGGCATATGTTGCCTTGACTTTGATACAGTGACAGGCACATTATACTAATATTGCAGTACAGCTACCCAGGTCTGTGGAATAAGCAGAAAGGTCATTGGTCACGACTGCACCGAAAGACAAGTTCTTACCTTGTTTAGCAGCTCTGACCCACCTTCATTTAAGGGAGCCAGTTTTGGTTTAATGAGATCTGCACTGGGCTAAAAAGAAATAATAAAGTTTAAAAAATTGAACTACACAGATTTCTAGGAAGAAAAGTATTCCTTTAGTCTGTAAAATAACTATTCACAGTCAGTTCAGCTTTCTCCAGTAAAGCAAATGGATGACCTTTTATTTCGAGTTAATTTTTTACTGGTACCACGGCTCTTAAGCGATATACTTCACTTTCAGATACAGTTAAACAAAACTACTGCACAAAGACATGACAGGGTTGCAAATTTGAATTGATGAAAGACAACCGATGCTGCAGCAACCAAAACACACAAAAGAATGGTGCCTGACATTGCCTCTTTAAGCAAAACAGGAAAAAAAAATATTTCTGTGATTCTAAGAGTAAAAATAATTTATACAACTCCAAATAACTTTATTTCAGTATTAAAATATAATATATATTAAATAAATATATCTTTACCCTAGAGATCAAATAAGGTACAACTATGATCATATGAGATAAGCTGGCATCTTCTAAAGTTTTGACTCCACTCAAGGACAAGCAAGTGTCCCAGCTCTGCTCCAGTCTCCCGGGGGAAGGGAACCAGGAGCAGACACTCCAGCACAGCCTTGGGCTGCCTGACTTTGGGATAAGGATGACAAGGCATGTTCCAGCTACATGGAATCTGTCCTCTGGAAACAGCCAAGGCAATTCAGTGTGAGCCTTAGTGCAGAACACCAAAATGCTACTTTTTTGGAGACTTTCAAAGATTGTTTTGATGAATGGTGGGGGTTTTTTTTGTTGTTTTGCTTCTCCCTCTTAAGCACAAAGAATCAACACTAAGTATTTTAATCATCTATCATGACTCCACATGGCATATGGTTTGATAAAACTCTACCTTCTTGTTTGAAGATGTAAAGTCTGACTTTTCAAACTCAGCAACCTGTTCCAGCAATTCTCTTAAAAAGAAAAAAAAAAAAGGGAAGCATTTATTTACTCAAAGAGCTATGCTATGACACACATTTTACCAGGCTGATGCTACGCTCTTTAATGCATGTAGGATTCTCATTAGAAGCACAGAACAAAGTCCTATGCAAACACAATTAATGCTATGATCATGTCACGCAGTGGTACAGTATATGATTTAGAACTGGAAGATGTATCATTCTTGATTAAAATATAATCTACTCACACAACAAAGGCTTTTCAATCAAATCCTATCACCTGTTCTTAACTAATTAATTCAGTAGGAATATTACCAATAAAAACATCTTTGGAATTACTGTGCCTTGCAACTATATAGATGGAATACTCAAAAGTAACCTGCCATTGATATAACAGTAAAAGAAGAGGTTTCTACATTCAGGAAAATAATGCAAACAGTCAAAACTTTGAAGTTTTCTTATTATTTAAAGGCATTCTGTACAGTCCAATACAATTTACCGATTCTCCAGCTCAGAGACTTCTGTCTGCAACTTAAGGTACCACTTCTCAGCCTGCGAAAAGAGCTGCCGCAGAAGCAGAACATTGGTGTAAGTGGTATTTATGAGCTCTGACTCCACTTCGCTGTGTACAACAGTCTGCAGCCCATCTAGCATGTCCACCACCTCGTCGACTGTGAAGGTTTCCTCAACAAGTCTAAACAGAGCAGTCAAGAAGAGCCATTTATGAGGAAGGTTAACAATTTTGCATTGTTATGAGATCTCACTACACAGATATCACACTTATATAATGAAATATCCTTCTGAAAAAAACCACTCTAAGTAGCTTTAGATGAAAATGGCACTACTAATCAGTTACTCTATTTAAATTCTCTCTCAGAAACGTTATGATCACAAATATTACTTCAGCTACAGTCTTGCATCAAATTCAGACATCAGAAGCAAGATATAAAGTAACACCATGCTGTTGATATCTATGTTAATTCCCAAGAATTTACACAGCTTAGTTTTAATGGGATTTCACTTGTAACATTTGCAAAATTATGGGGTCCTTCTTCCTCTCTAAGAACATACAAACATAAAGAGAAGAAAGTCATCCCATAAAGCACTTAAACCTTCACTTGCTGTTAGCACGTTTTGCTTTATTCTTTCCCAGAACCACCCGCCATGGTACCTGCTGTCCTTAAGGTCCTGAAAACAAGAATCCACTGTTTTGAGACACAGTCCACGCTTGAAACGAGCAAAGCGCATGTAGTTGATCACTTCATTCTGGTGGTGCTCATTAAGGCCCAGCTCTGCCTGTGGATAAGGATATAAGCACCAATATACACTGAAATAAGTAAAAAGGAGCATAAGTATTGCAAAGACTTGCCTTCTGACTAGTTTATGTGCTTGCTATAGGGCTATCATCTTAACTAGTACGTTAAAAACTAACCATAATTTCATATGTGTAAACTGTATATAGCTCATTTAAGCACTTCCCCATTAAAAGCAAGGGAAGTAAGTCCTCAAGTGATCAGTACCCTCAAGAGAGTCACAAAAAAAATCAGAGGATCAGAACCAGAAGGACTGTAGAAGAAAGGAAGCTCTTGGATAAATTCATATTTGTTTTACAATGTACTTGAATGACGCACCTTGTGTAGATGTACTAACAAAAATACACAGGAAAGACTGTTAGGTTTCTTTGCCAGTTTATAAATCTTAAGGCCTCTTATATAAACTTAAACAATAATCTGAACTTGTTTCTCAATAGCCTATTGCCCAGAAACAAATATTCCCAGGGCAGATTAAGAAGGAAGTGCTTTTAGACCCAGCTAACCAGCCCTTCTGCATATGCCTCTATTTCAAAAGCAAGAATATCGGCAGGGTCAATTACATTAGAATAAGTCTTGCTCGTGCAGGTGGCACAAATCACGAGGAGGCCCAACAGGGTACAAATGGGGCTTTATCAGCACAGTCCCTGAAAAGCTGATGCAACCATAGGTGAAGCCCATTTCATTTACTCCGATGTACTGAGTTAGTGCTGCCGGTGTTAGAGACAGCAACTCAGACAAAATTCTGATCACCTCGCCCTTAGTAATCCAAGTGCACAGGGCAGCTCAGCGAAAGCGCAGTAACGCGATAGCTGGATGAACAATACTGAAAACACGAGCACAGATCTTGACGGCCTGTTGATTAAAGGCCATCTAGGAAACTGCAATGGCAGTAAAGAAAACAACCTCTCAGTGCAAAGTCTGATGCCCCCCACAAACTCCCACATCAACAGAGCTGGTGAAGGTCTGGAGAACAAGTCAGATGAGGAGCAGCTGAGGGAACTGGGGTTGTTCAGCCTCGAAAAAAAGGAGGCTGAGGAGAGACCTCCCTCTCTACAACTACCTGAAGGAGGCTGTAGAGAGGTGGCAACCGGTCTCTTTTCCCAAGTAACAAGCAATAGGACAAGAGGAAACGGCCTCATATGGCACCAAGGGAGATTTAGATTGGATATTAGGAAAAACTTATTTACTGAAAGGGTTAACAGGCATTCGAATGGGTTGCCCAGGACAGTGGCGGAGTCCCCATGCCTGGAGACAGTTAAGAGTTGTGCAGACACAGGGCTTAGGGATAAGGGATATGGCTTGGTCAGGACTTGGCAGCATTAGATTAAAAGACTGGATTTAGTAATCTCAAAAGTTTTTTCTGATCTGGACGATTAGAAAATCTGGACGATTCTGTGATATTGCAAATGCGGGAACACAACAAAAATCTCAATTAAGGTTCTCTGCCGCTGCTGGATCTCCTTCAGTTTGGAAAGGTTCTATTTGCTGCAGACAGAACACAACACATAACGCAGCACCAGCGCCGAAACCTCGCAATCCGGAGAGCAGCCTCAAAAGGCAACTAAACCAAAGAACACTCAGGCAACGGGGACACGGGGTCGTGTC